ATGAAGTGTCCAGACTATATGGGAGACCGGAAACACAAGTCAAATAGCTGCAGAAATGAGAATATACAGCTTGACGGTTCTCGGAATCCGTGAAACTCATTTTATCCAAGCTGGACAGCAAAGGTCGGGTACAGGAGAGATGTTGCTGTACTCCGATCACGCAGAAGAAAATGTTCCACACATTAAAGGAGTTGCTCTGATGCTTTCCGAAGAAGCACCAAGTGTACTTATACGATAGGAATCTCACCGATTCAATATCATCAAAGCTTCAGATCACCATCTATCTGGTGATTGCCAAGATGAAACTTGAGCTAACGAAGCAATGGACAACTGGACAAACAGCATTACAAAGGTTCAATACAGTCTTCCTTCGACATACTGACAAATTCAACGAATTCAATATAGATCTCAACAACAGGTTCAACGCCTTACAAGATCCACTCGAAGAAGAGAATAATACTATGAAAGACAAGTGGAAAAGGATCAAAGATGCACTAACTCCAACGTGTCAGGAGGTTCTGGGCCGCAAGAAGCATCATCATAAGGAATGAATTTCTATGGAAACCCCGGACACGGTTCAAGAAAGGAAGAACAGAAAGATAGCAATCAACAACAGTGGAACAAGAACAGAGAAAGCCAATGCACATGGCGAATACTTAAAATTAAACAAGAAAGTGGAGAAGAGCATTAGAGCTGACAAACAGAAATACGTGGAAGACGAAGCAATGACAGCGGAAAAAGCTACAAGAGAAGGGAATGTGCAACAATTATGTGACACAACGAAGAAACTGGTAGGGAAATAGAGCGAAGTAGAGAGACCGGTGAAGGACGAAAAAGGCGAGCCAATCAATCACTGATATTGAAGAACAGCGGGACAGATGGGTGAAGCACTTTGAAGAACTCTTGAATGGACCAGCTCCACTGAACCACGACCGGACATCGAAGCAACACACACAGAGATATTCCCATAGATGTTATCGAACCAACAATCGAAGAAAACATCATGATCATCAGGCAAGTCAAGAGTGGGGAAGCAGCAGAACCAGACAACATACCATCTGAAGCAGTAAGGTCAGCCATAGAAGTGACTGCATGCATGCTCCATGTTCCATTCAGGAAAATTTAAGAGAAAGAACAAGTGACGACAAACTGGAATGAAGGATATCTCATTAAGATAACAAATCAACGAGATCCGAGCGTGTGTGAGAACTACAGAGGCATCGCACTACTATCTGTGACATGAAAAGTTTTCAACCAAGTTTTGTAGAACTGAATGAACGATTCAATGAACACCGAACTTCGAGGTCAACAGACCGGATTCCGTAAGGATCAGTTGTGTACGGACCAAATGGCAACACTACTGATCATCGTTGAACAATCACTTGAATGGAAATCATCACTAGACATCAACTTCTTTGATTATGAAAAAGCGTTTGAGTGTGGATAGGAGAACTTAGTGAAACCTTCTTCGACAGTATGATGTATCTGGGGAGATCGTCCACATCATAGGGAATTCATACGACGGACTACACTTGAAAGTGTTGCATGGAGGACAGCTGACAGAATTGTTCCGAGTGAGGACCGGAGTCAGACAAAGCTGCCTACTCCCACCCTTTCTCTGTCTTCTGTTGATTGACTGGATTACGAAGACCGCGACATCTGAGGGAAAGCATGGAGTACAATGAACAGCTTGCATGCAACTAGACGACTTGGAATTCGCAGATGACCTGGCCCTTCTATCCCATACACACCAACAAATACAGGTCAAGACAAACAGTGTAGCAGAAGCCTCTGCTTGAGTAGGCCTCAACATACACAGAGGAAAAAGCAATATTCTAAAATATAACACAGAGAGCACCATCTCGACCACACTTGATGGAGAAGCACTGGAAACTTTCGCGTACCTGTTCAGCTTTATCGATGAACAAGGCGGATCAGATGCAGACGTGAAGGTGGGTTTTGGCTCAACACGGGCTACATTTCTATAACAGAAGAACATGTGGAACTCAAGACAACTGTCTGCAAACCAACATCAAATTCAGAATCTTCAATACGAACGTCATGAAAGTCATTTTTACTGTACGGAGCTTAAACTTGGAGAACTACTACAACTATTATCAATAATGTAAAAGTATTTATAAACGATTGTTTACTCAAGATGCTCAATGTCCGTTGGCAGGATACCATTAGCTACATTCTACTGTGTCTGTTTTATGAATAAAATACATCACTTTTATTTAGGATATGCGAGCGGTTTGATAATCTTATACCAATCAATATTAATAAAGGTAATCCTTGGAAAGTGCATTAATCAACCTGCAGAGAGTCACGAGTAATATCAAGTCACGTGTGGGCCTTACAGGGGTGTGGATTATTATACCGGGATGAATATCAGAAAGATTTACACTTTTTGAATTACTTTTAAGATTATTATTTCTATCACTTTTTTATAGTTTTAGAATAGCTACATTATTGAATTTCTATATCTGCCTTATTGTAAGCTTCCAGTGGACTTGTTAACTGTTGTTATGCGTTTTACTACTCCTTAATTATTTCTAATTAATCATGTACTGCTTGATTTCCTCTCTCTTATGGCATGATTATATTTAAAGAACAATTTCACATCCAATGTGCTATGCTGTATAATACTTCGTGTGTATAACCTGATGATTGTTTAAGATCGATGGTATGCTGTCGCGCTTGCGTGATTGCAATATGGGAATTGTAGATGCCTAGCTGCTGACTTCTCTTCGGATGGGCAACCAATGGAAGCGTAGCTCACGTTAAATTGTACCGGACAGAACGCATCACTACTCAAGGCTAAGGACGCTAGACTATAGTTGGAATAGTAGACACGAAGTAGAACATTTAAAGGCGGTATTTTCTTTGAGAAACTTAGCACGTGATATTTATCGACGTCTCAGCGACATAACACGAAATAAAGAACAAAAGTGCTCATACAATTCTACTTTTGAATGCCTAAATGAGAAGTCGGATCCGACTTGCGATAACTTAAATGGCAGAAACTAATTTTAATTAGATTACACTTAACCGATTACAACTATTTAAAAAAGCTTTTGAATAATGGAGGATAACAATTCAATTCTATGATTGCATATATTGATTTTCAGGTCATGCTGAGTATCTGTAGTTCAGTCGGAGGATTTAGGTATTTTGCTCTTTTAGTTTCAATAAAACGAGAATCTATGCAGTCATCAGAATTTTAAAATTTCACTTCCTTTCGAAGTATGTGCTGATGCTGTTGTCTAGATAGACGATGAAAGTTGCAGGACTAAACCATTGTGCCCATAGAACGCAACACCCTAAAAATATATTCATTCTGAGAAATAATTCATGTATCATTGGAAATGGACAACTGGTTTATGATTTAATTATAGTGTACTGTGCTCAGCTATAATTTAGGATAAGTTTTCCTACAATGTACTAGATATCTTACATTCTGAAAAACAGTAAGGATAGAGAAAATCTTCCAAGATACAAGTACAGTAAAAATCAGGTGAGTCAATGCATCGTCAACCGGTTTGTATTTCGCCTATTCTTTGTCAAGTGATTACAATATCCAAATGACAAACCTGTTAACTGTTGATGAATGCAGAAAAGCGATATCGTTGGTGGACGAATCAATAGATGTCGTTTAGGATAAGGAATTATGATAGCGAAAAGTAACTGTGTTACCGTTAGGAATTCCACGTCTGTTACTAAAATGAAGCAACGTAGGAAAATGACTCAGTGGTAAGTTGTATTTTTCTTACTTGGAATATTATGGTTAAAAAATCAGGTAGAGACAAACGGAGAACGTGGCACGAATATGGACTCACCGAAGTCCCCACATATCATATCAAAACAGGGAAACAAAATTAAGAAATTGAGCTTTAAGGGTAATTAGACTAATTATGAAAGATCCAATATCAAATGCATTATCAATGACGGGCTACGGCCCATGTACTCAATATAATTAGATAAAACGGTTGGTTGGTAGTTGAGAGGTTTGTGGTTGACAATTTCACATGAGTATTAGTAATTTCCTAGACCATCATTATCTATCATAATTTACGTAGTGTTGGTTATACTCTAGTAATCTTAGTGACTTGAGCGTAACCTGTATATTACGTCAACCCGGAATGAAAATTGCTCTTGGGAAAAATTTATCCCAGGAAGGCCAAACACTGACGAGTAACAAAATTTTTACCCGAAACGAAAATAGAAACCTTCACAGCTTGGATTTGAGATTGATAGGTTTCAAATTTTGATGATCCAGTAGGGCTATTTTGTGTCAAGTCTTAAAACGGCCAAATAACTGGTCTCATTAGTTCTAAACATCATAGTCGACTCCGAGGATCCAGATACAAAGACGTCGAGGTCAATAATTCCTTATACGGTAAACAAGAAAACTAGACTAAAGAGGAATTACGACTAAACGACCAAGCCTTTACTCATCTTAATGGATTTTAGAAGCGTGCACGGAGCTGAAACGAAACAGCCAGGAGTTTGTACACTGATCGCTCTTAGAGATAACCAAGGCACTCATGAGTAAACATTAGTGACCAGTAATGCTGGCCATACGCTTGGACGACCAAAAATAGTTGAGTAACAGCAGAAGTCAGTCATATGCAATGTAGAGCCTCGAACAAATTGTGCATCAGCTCAAGTCACTATCATATATCAGAAGTTCACCGAACATGTCAATAAAGACAAGTAAGCTAAGAATATTTGCTAAGTGATACTTGCAGAGAACCACTCCTATAGTCTAATAACTATTTTGAAGCCATATAAGTAATTGAAGAGATTGATCAGCTGATGAGATCGCAAACCTGAATATTGTAGGATGGTTAGGACTCATGCTACTTACCTCAGCTAACTTCTAACTAGAGATTGACTAGTCTTGGTGAAATTTATTGCCTTTAAACAACATTTCTGATACGCGGAGACTAGCAGGCAATGATATTATGTTTCATTACAAATAAAAAGTCAAGGAAATTATCTGGAAAGTATATTGCGTACAATTATTTTAATATGACGCACACATGCAGGAAAATGATTAATCAATGACTTGATTTGACAAAAAATAAAATGTTATTTTATAAATTTTCAGACATTTCTAAGTTGCGTGCGTGAAAAGAGGAAAGTAAAGAAGTACAACCATAGGTCCACTAAAAAAGACGACTACACACATACACATCTATTAAGTGATGCTTCCATAAAGTAGTTGAATAAAACGAAAATCAGCTGGAAGGTTACATCTATTGATATAAATGACAAGAATTTCTGTGATTAAGAGGGTAAGGAACGGAACATGACTAAATTGAAGTACATAAGATGAAACTAAAAGAACTGAAAAAGTGTTTGTGATAAAGTCTCATCATTTGAATAATCAATTATATAAGTTAACCTAATCATCAAAGTGTGTGATACTTGGCACCATAACTATTGGCTTAGTTTCTGCATCTTCTAGTTTGACAACACGAAGTGTGTTTGTAGAACCGGAACCAGCTTTCCAACCAGTTACGATTATTACGAAGCACCCAGGCGAGAAAAATGAACGCTTTCTACCATAATCAATAGCATAACGAATTCTACGGTCCATATCTTCGTACCATTCTCCAGCTCGTGGTTCTGTAAAATACATGAAATAAAAAGTTAAAATCGGGTAAATTTACTGTCATTGCACACAATAAATTTAGTTGAATATTTGATAATTTAATAAAATGTTTCTGATTGTTTATATACAACTTACCACCATAATACAGAGGATGAACGCCACGATAAAGGTGAATTTGACGAGCAATATATTCATGACGTGTCACAGTGAGAATTGGGCAACGAGGTCTATGACGTGAGATCAGTTGGCATGAACTAACATATAAAAGAGAATTAATCAAAACGAATGTTAAATATACATAATGAAGATACATATATCGATATTGTATAGTACCCTTTAAAGCATCAAAAAAGCAAGGTACATATAAGTGCCTTCTTTATTTCGTTAATCGTCCTAAATGATGCACCTTACTTACGCCTGAAACTCCTCGTGAAGGAGAATAGGCCGCCCACCGACACTCCATCCAACCCTGTCCTGGGCAATCCTTTATAGCTCCTTCCAGTTGTTATTCATTCTTCTAATATCTACTTCTATTTCCCGACGTAATGTGTTCTTAGGCCTTCCTCTTTTTCGCTTCCCTTCAGGATTCCAAGTCAGGGCTTGCATCGTGATGCAGTTTGATGATTTACGTAATGTATGTCCTATCCATTTCCATCGTCTTTTCCTAAATTCTTCTTCAGCTGGAAGCTGATTTGTTCTCTCCCAGAGAAGGCTGTTGCTGATGGTATCCGGCCAATGGATGTTGAGTATCTTGCGAAGACAGCTATTTATAAATACTTGTACCTTCTTGATGGTGGTTGTTGTAGTTCTCCAAGTTTCGGCTCCGTACAGTAAAACTGACTTTCATGACTTTCGTATTGAAGATTGTGACTTTGATATTGGTTGACAGACAGTTGTTTTGAGTTCCATATGTTCTTCAATTGTAGGAATGCGGCCCTTGCTTTGCCAATCCTCGCCTTTACGTATGCACCTGAACCTCCTTGTTCATCGATGATGCTTCCCAGGTATGTGAAGGATTCTACATCTTCCCGAGTTTCGCCATCAAGAGTGATTGGACTGCTGTTTTCCTTTGGCTTCACACATTTCGCGATGTCCTCTCTTCAAGTTGGTTATTTAGATGTTTCAAGTTTTAACAACTAATTCCATTTAGTTTGTTTGTTGGTTTTTTCCATCGAATTATTTGTTGAACGTCTACTAATAAAGACATAAATTTCATGCAGCTTCATGAAGCTCAGTGCTTTTAATATATTAAAGTATTTCCGATTATTTCATTCACTGTCTTCTAAATAAATTAGAATAGCAGCATATTTTAGACCAGTTTTAATTTTAATAGAAACGAGAATGTGTGTAGTCATTGATTAATTTTATGTAAGATAAAAACATACATACTTACCGGCCAGATGTTGTAATCACAATGATAGCGGCAGCATTACAACGACTAGCAGCTTCTACTGCAGCAATTGCAGTGGTGTGAGCCATTTCAGTTGGACCATATAAAGAAGACTTCAAATCTTCAAACAATTGTCCATGAAACATTGCTGCCTCAGCCTGTACACATATACGGTGCATAGTTTGTACAGCCTCTAATGGATATAATCCTTTGGCCGTTTCTCCTGAATTATAAAATATAAAATAAGTTGAAAAATGAACAATTTATTTTGGTTGATTGATAATTAAAAACCTGATAATAACCTATGAATATTGCTGTGAATAGAAAAAAGGTAGATTATGATTGAAATTCATCTGCTCGTCAATTAAATGTTACTGCTTTTAGATGTGTAATTTATAATTTATGTAATCAGATTTCTGCTGTTTCTCAGACGTCACCACTTCTCTAGTACTGAGCTAAAATGATCAGATAGAAAAACCAAAATGGATGAAACAATTTTCTAGAAAACAAAACAAGAGATAGAACACTATCCAAACGAAATTTAGGTGGAGATTGATTCAATTTGGCAGGTAAAAATCTGATGATGTGAGCAATGAGTTGAATAAATGTTTGTATTTTTAGGGAAACCCCTTGTTCAAATTTACCTCAAGCGGTTGACATTTAAAAAACTTTTTGGTGTAAAGGTTTAGCAGGTAGACTTTAGTGAAATGCAATTAATTTAATATCCATGGCTTAGTGGTTAAAATATTCAACTTCAAACTACTAAGACCCAGGTTCTGACTACTTTGGTTTCGACAACTAGGGTAGGTATCATTAGCTCTTACACGTAGATTGTGGTTAATACCCAAGTGCCTACTTGTCAAATGAGTTTTAACATTAAATGATGCGTAATTTGGACTGGAACTCTTGTTGATCAATGCATAATTTGACATTTAAATGCCCACTGACCAAATAGATATTTTATTCAATAGAAGTATTGCATGACTTTACGATATCAGCTGGAATATGAACAAGTATTTTCTATTTGTATGGTTTTTAAGAAAATTTAGCCCACCAGTGGACAAAACGGAGCTTGGTTTCAGTGTGTGAATCTGCAGGGACACAGAGTATCCAAGAATATTGAGAAAAATAGTACGAAAACGTGTAATATTTGAAGCACATAGTTATGGTTTGATGAGTAGATAACGTCGAAAATGTAAAATATTATGAAATCGAAACCAACCTGAAAGCATAACACAGTCTGCACCATCAAGTACGGCATTAGCAACGTCACTTGATTCAGCACGTGTTGGACGAGGCTTAGTAGTCATTGACTCCAACATTTGTGTGGCACATATCACAGGCTTCCCAACCTGATTACAGCGACCAATCATCATCTTTTGTGCTATGAAAACCTTTTCAGCAGGGATTTCTATCCCTAGATCACCACGAGCAACCATAATTCCATCAGCAGCATCAAGGATTTCATTAAATCTGAAAATGGAAAGGACATTTTAGTCAAGATATTGGAAGGCAGAAAGGTGTAAAGACATTGTCAAGATCCTGATAACAAGTTGATAAATCGTTTCATCTGAGAGATAATCATAAGATGGGATATGAAAAAAATTATTTGGAATCCTGTACAGTAATACTATTTTGTTGAAAAGACCAACTTTCCAAAACATAAGAACCAAGAGATACGATATATATGAATATGATGTCATCAAATCGAAAAAGGGAAGAAAAGAAAAGAACCGCATAAGGATACCTTATAATGAATATACTCTAATAAATTTGTTTACACAAACAGATAATAGTATAGAGCAAAATACCACAATGGATAACTTATAAACTATGAATTTTAGTTAATCTTCAGGTTTACAGCTTGAACTCAGAAAGCTACTAGTTCTAAAGAGCAAGACGTGCAAGATTAATGGGACATGATGTTAAGTTGAAGTTGATATCTAGTGATAATTTCCATTCAAGTAATTGTTCAACGATGATCAGTAGTGTTGCCATTTGGTCCGTACACAACTGATCCTTACGGAATCCGGTCTGTTGACCTCGAAGTTCGGTGTTCATTGAATCGTTCATTCAGTTCTACAAAACTTGGTTGAAAACTTTTCATGTCACAGATAGTAGTGCGATGCCTCTGTAGTTCTCACACACGCTCGGATCTCGTTGATTTGTTATCTTAATGAGATATCCTTCATTCCAGTTTGTCGTCACTTGTTCTTTCTCTTAAATTTTCCTGAATGGAACATGGAGCATGCATGCAGTCACTTCTATGGCTGACCTTACTGCTTCAGATGGTATGTTGTCTGGTTCTGCTGTTTCCCCACTCTTGACTTGCCTGATGATCATGATGTTTTCTTCGATTGTTGGTTCGATAACATCTATGGGAATATCTCTGTGTGTGTTGCTTCGATGTCCGGTCGTGGTTCAGTGGAGCTGGTCCATTCAAGAGTTCTTCAAAGTGCTTCACCCATCTGTCCCGCTGTTCTTCAATATCAGTGATTGATTGGCTCGCCTTTTTCGTCCTTCACCGGTCTCTCTACTTCGCTCTATTTCCCTACCAGTTTCTTCGTTGTGTCACATAATTGTTGCACATTCCCTTCTCTTGTAGCTTTTTCCGCTGTCATTGCTTCGTCTTCCACGTATTTCTGTTTGTCAGCTCTAATGCTCTTCTCCACTTTCTTGTTTAATTTTAAGTATTCGCCATGTGCATTGGCTTTCTCTGTTCTTGTTCCACTGTTGTTGATTGCTATCTTTCTGTTCTTCCTTTCTTGAACCGTGTCCGGGGTTTCCATAGAAATTCATTCCTTATGATGATGCTTCTTGCGGCCCAGAACCTCCTGACACGTTGGAGTTAGTGCATCTTTGATCCTTTTCCACTTGTCTTTCATAGTATTATTCTCTTCTTCGAGTGGATCTTGTAAGGCGTTGAACCTGTTGTTGAGATCTATATTGAATTCGTTGAATTTGTCAGTATGTCGAAGGAAGACTGTATTGAACCTTTGTAATGCTGTTTGTCCAGTTGTCCATTGCTTCGTTAGCTCAAGTTTCATCTTGGCAATCACCAGATAGATGGTGATCTGAAGCTTTGATGATATTGAATCCGTGAGATTCCTATCGTATAAGTACACTTGGTGCTTCTTCGGAAAGCATCAGAGCAACTCCTTTAATGTGTGGAACATTTTCTTCTGCGTGATCGGAGTACAGCAACATCTCTCCTGTACCCGACCTTTGCTGTTCAGCTTGGATACAATGAGTTTCACGGATTCCCAGAACCGTCAAGCTGTATGTTCTCATTTCTGCAGCTATTTGACTTGTCGTTCCGGTTTCCTATATTGTCCGGACACTTCATGTATCCATAAGAACTGTTGCGAATGTCTGGCACTTTAACCGGGTTGGTGGACATGGAGAGTCCACCTAGGGAAGTTGGAAAACCCTTATTCCAAACCAATGGTGTACGTGGGCTTCATTATCCTGAAGGAACAAATGGCGTATGAACCAATCGTTGGTCACCGGCTACCACGGGACTGCATCTCCTTACAATGCTCCACTTCCTTGTGGATCAGACCTTCAGGCTGAGGCTCCGGGTGTGGCCGCCTAAGAAAACTATCTGCTTCGGTTTGGGCACCCGAGCAGTATCACAACCCTCACACATATCAAATGAGATCTGTGTGGCGCATATTTGTATTTGGTGCCTCCTTGTACCAATATCTATGTGTTAAAATAATAAAGTAAATACTTTTATCTTCTGGATGATGACTTTTGCAGTTCTGCAAGTTTCCGCCCCCATACAGTAGAACTATCTTCACATTTGTATTGAAAATTCTGACCTTGGTGTTGGTTGACAGATGTTTTGAGTTTCAGATGTTCTTCAACCGTAAATATGCTGCTCTGGCTTTGCCGATCCGCGCCTTTACGTCTGTATCAGCTCTACCGTGTTAATCAATGATACTACCCAGATATGTAAAGGTTTGTACATCTTCCAAAGCTTCGTCAAGTGGGATTTGGTATACGTTGTGTTGTATCGGAAAATCATGCTTTTCTATTTGTGTATGTTGAGACTTACTGCTGCTACACTGGACTAGAACCATACAATTGTATTTATAAATATTTCGCTCGTAACTGTTTGCAAGAAAATAAGACGTTGTAACAAACACATCGCAATATCAAAAGTGGATAGCTGCCATTTAAATTTTTTCTCGATATCTTATTTTATAAGCTGTTTTTGATACTTGTTCGTCTCCTCTTCGACCATTATGTAGTGTTTGAAAATTTTTGGATTAAGGTTTGGTGCATTTGTCAATGATGTAATAGTTCCCTATTTTATTATGAACCATTGTGTTTGAAATATCTATAAATACTATTGTACGGTCATGTTAAATGACAATAACGGAAAGAAAACATCTGAATTATGTCCACTTTGCTTGATAAAACAAATGATTGGATAATTACAGTAATCGTTACTTTTTTGTATAAAACTATATATATCAAACAGATTAAGTGTTGTGTTAAATTAAAAAATAATAATAATGTGAATAGATTCCTGGAGAAATTCATGATTATTATTCAAAAAATTTATCTGGATAATAAAATAATCTCATCATATTACTACGAGTTATATTATTATCCAATGCGTTTGTTTTTATTATCTAGGTGATAAAGTATTCGCATTTTATTTATTTTCCTAAAAATTGTTTAATTATAGTATGCAATGAAATCTGGCTATGTATAGACTAATATATTTGCATGTTCGAAACTATTTGTTTTACTGGGATGAAAGGTTTTTGACAAAATTTTCATTAATGGGCCACATAATATAATGAAAACTGATGGAAGTAGATAGATTTAAGATATGTTCTGATTATGTAGTCATTTCACTACTGTGTAACTCAATAATCTTTTTTTATTAACATATTGTAATAGGAGTTTAGCTGGAGTAACGAGATGATGACATCCGCTTTAATGTTGTTTTAAATTATTAGCACTTTATCAGAAACTTAGCAGAAGCAAATCCTAGCAGTGGAGTTATGTTACATCAAGTTTCTTAGATCAATACAATCACATGGCTATAATTATGATAGTTTTATAATTCAATACTAAAATTTTTCCTATCCTAAAGGCATCGAACAAATAACTCATATAGTACAATCAAATGCTACTCTAACAGTAACATCAAAACATCTACATTATGTATATTCTGTATCCCTCAAATAGTTGAGTAATATCTACACTAAATAATTTTCTATAATGGTTTGGGTGGTAAATTGTAATCTATATTTGATTGCCGTAGCGTATGTGGGTTTAGATACTTTTGGAACGGTTTTCGTTTACTATATATATTTGTGCACGAAAGACTGAGGAACTTACCGTTGGACGCCTTCATGATTTTCGATTTTAGCGATGATTTTAATGTGGGAACCATTATCACCGAGAAGTTGACGGATCTGGTGTACAGCATCAGCATTCCGAATGAAAGAGGCAAACACCATGTCAACCTTGAAAAGGTTTAATCGGCAATTTATGAAATGACGAAACAGAGAAGACAGAATTTATAAGTTGTATGTAGTAACTTGTCATATGTAATATAATATAACGTTTTTGAGAAACTATATATCACCTAACTAACTTTTAAGTGATTCTTTTATGGGGCGTATTTGTGCAATATTAGGATACAGAACAAGTTACGTTATTGAAAAACAATATGCAGGATAGGAATGTTTGTACTTCGGCATCAAATTCAAATCAAATTTACCAAAAAAAGCAGTGTACATTTGATAATCTATGTGGAACTAACAGTAAGATTAGTTTGTTAACGAAAAATTAAAACATTATACGATTGAAAAGATGAATACGCAGTTAATATTGAGTAAGAACCTACGTTATGCTCAACTGCAAAACGAAGATCTTGTTTGTCTTTTTCTGATACTGCATCTAAATCGACATGGGCTCCTGGGAGATTAACTCCTTTACGAGACCCTAGCTTTCCACCATTTTCAACTTCGCATTCAAGGTAATCAGGACCTGATATTAAAGGAAAAAATATACAGGCACAAATCATATTATGTACCAAGTATACGGATATTTTACAAATTCTTTTTTCGAGTACACTTAAGTGGAAGCAGAGAATATGTTTGATATTTACCTATGATAGTTATGCCATTGTAAATTTGTCTACAATCTCGTCTGTGAACTTGCTTAAATACTTCGGTTAAGATATGGTATGCGTCGGAAGAGCTTAAATAATAACAAAAAACGTCCTGCTGGGAAACTGTGGAATGAAGCACGGGTTGATATGAGTTTGTTTTGGGGAGATGATTGTTAACTAATTCACAGAGTTGAACAAAGGATATTCTGAATTGTAATATTGAGTCGTTTGGTCGGGTGGTCATGGTATTTATTATATCATCAACTTTGATATTGACTATCGAAGGAACTAAGTTGTGGAATTTAATAAAAATTGGCTTTCAGTTCACTCAACGGTTATCATTAACCATCAAAACTAAGTTTTATATGTAAGTAATCATACGTACCTATGATTTTTAAGGCTAAATAATGAATTTAACGTTTGACTAGAAATAATACAAAATGAATCAACACAAAAAATATATGCGGAATCAACAGACACATTTGACATGAAGTGGAACCAGAAGATCACTTACCTTTATCCAAAACCACTAAGCTTATTAAACCATCATCAACGAAAATCTTTGATCCTTTAGACAAAACATGTACAATATTTCGGTAATCCACATACAGAATAGACTCATTACACGCTTCCATGTATGCGCAATCAGTGGTTACACGGATTTTATGACCAACTTGAAGATTGACTTCAGCGGTCCCACTCTACAAGAGAGAATGCAAAAATATGTTAAGTACTTACTATATAGTGTACAACAAAAAGATATACGTGCAGCGAAAAGGTGGTTAACAATCATTTTAATTTCAAATGGACTCAGCAACCTTAATAAATAGTTAAAATTTGAGTTACCTAAATAATTCGATTGCGTCATACCTCTCGATATGCTCTATATTTTCTGTACATGGAAGGAAATGAATTAGTCTTACGAGATAGTGCTGGAAACAATACTTACATATTGACTTTAAATAATGTTCATTAATAAAGGAGAAAGAAAAATCATCTCAAGTGTTTATAACTATATGTAATAACAGTCAAATAATTTCACGTAGAACTGAGTTTTGCTCATAACTCTAATTGTTTTCATACGTTTACCTAATAACATTGAATGACGGTAACGAACCCGGTTGTAGATACTTGAGTAAATGGACAACAGAAACTGTTAGAAATAAATAGAAACGTAATGCCTATCGTGTAACACTTAAATTTGAACAGTTGGAAAGAGATAAAGCGATGTTTCACAATTGTGATCAACATTAACCTTACCCCGTTAATAAGGCCAGTACGAATTTCAGGCCCTTTGGTGTCCAAAGCAATCCCTATTGGTCGAGGGAACGGTTTTAAAGTTGCGGCAGCCTCTCGGACCAACTCAATGGTTTTCGCATGATATTCGTGACTGCCGTGAGAGAAATTCAGACGGGCAATATTCATTCCAGATGTCATCATATTCTGTAGTATCTCGACAGTGCGACAAGCAGGACCTAGTTTACAAAATAAGCAGAAAAGTAAAGTCAAATATCTTTAGAATCAAATGTACACATAAACTTGTTTTGTCAGTCTTATAGAATTAGTGAGTAACAATAACGCCTGAACTGATATACAGGAGGAAAAGAAATCATCCTGAAAAATTCACATCGTTGCACGAAATTCAACAACTGATGAATAATGGTACTCTTTTGATAGTTATGCTTATTTTCGTTATGTTTGAAGTCAATTGAATAAATAACAGGCGTTCATCCAAATTACTGAACTCTTATTGTTTGTATAATTTTAAAGATTAAAACTTTGTACGTTTCATTTACCATAACAATGGACTCAGTTTTATGAATTGCACGATAACCACAGACAGAATAGTCGATTTTACGCACCAGCTCATTCTCGTTGCCCGAAGCAACAAATCTCACTGACTACCTGAAAAAAACGATTACTTTCCAGTATGTATACAAATAGTTAAGAATAGTTTGGCAGCTTAGTTTTTACACTTAGTATTCAAGATGAGGTTTAATGGAGCCCTCTCCTCGTCGGTACCTGAAAAAGTGGAGTTCCCCAATGTGTAATCCTCGGTCCCCTTCTCTTTTTACTTATGTTAATGAATTACCAACCGTAGCAAAACTATCCGTTCTACTCTTCGCTGACGACATAAAAATCTGGAGACCCATACACAGTATGTCGGATAGAATAGTATTACAGGATGGTTTTAGCTCATTGGTGGAATGGTTGGACAGGTGATCACTAGAAGTAAATTCTAATAAGAGTGCGGTGATACAATTAAATAACTAAGATGAATCGTATCACCATACAATATGTGGATTCGTGCTACCCAAAGTAAGACACTATAAAGATTTAGGAGTCATATTAAGCAGTGATCTCAAAACCACTAGTCACTGTAAGGCTGCTGCTGCGAAAGGCTATAGGGTATTATGGTCTATTTGTAGGTCTTTCCAGTATTTAGACGAAATATTTAGATTATTATACCCGATTTATGTGCGACCATATTTAGAATATGGGATTCAAGCAGCGAGTCGTTGTTTCAATTATGAAGCAGATATGTTGGAAAGAGTCCAACAACGAGGTACCAGGATGGCTAAGGGTCTATCTGGCCTATCCTGTGAAGACAGAGACACCTTAACTTATTCCCGTTAGCTTACCGTAGAATACAGTGACCTAATATTGGCTTGTCGTATACTGAACGATGACCTTGGTATTACCATGTCTTATCTTTTACTTCCGTCTAGGACTGATCATTTGAGAGGACATTCGGAGAAAGTTCAAAAACCGAGATCAAGTCGTTTACGTCTGGAGTTTCGCTTCTCGCACCGAGTAGTGAGCGACTGGAATTTTCTACCGGAACACGTAATATCAGCACCTTCAGTTGATATATTCAAAACGAGATTGGACCTACACAGTAGTACAAACTCCAAGGACTAATATAGGTCCATAGACCTATTCTTAATACCGGAGACTGAGATTTAATGGAGGTAAAGAACGTATGATCTAGTACAATATATCGTCCCAAGATGCCACATTTTGCACTTGGTTATCCAGAGAAAATTAAAATAGTCAAGGAAACATGGTGTAGATGGATTCAGAGAGAAATGTTTAGTATATTCATAATCGCTAGGCAGATGGGTACCATCCATAAACCTCACATTGTGTAGTGAACTTTGGACGTAGTTTGCAGGACAGCAGTAACCTGTTCATAGAAAACTGAAAAAGCGATTATGGAATGGTACGACTCAAAAGCGTCCTGATGAACTTGCCCAAGCGTAATATGATGGTGGGTATCGCATCTACTTTAACAAAACGGAGCAGATTGGTTGGTTTAAACTACTAAGATTGTCTCTACTCAACCTAGTAAAATAGCACTATGAAATGAAACTTGAAATCAGAAGAATACAAAAATACTCGTGAACCTACAATCTAGTTACTTTTCTGATGATTGACAATATTTATATTACAGGAAGAGAAAACGAACTGAATAGCGTTGACTCTAACTATGGACGCAACGCGGTTATTAAGGGAAATATTTGTAGATGTACACTAACTGTATACTTAACGATCAGACCATTTAGGAGTGAATAATTTAATCACGTATTACTCAGAGAGCTGTTTACGAAACAAATTTCTCTCCAAGAAATATTACAGAGAGACTTTCGCAGTAGCTTACCGATGGTGCATATTATACCAGTATTTCGGACATATGCGGGTTGATGGTCGATATCAAGGCTAACAACATGTTCCAATAACGAACGTGGATATACAGAAAGTGGTGGGTTCTGGTGATACGGAGAGGCCTCACCAAACCTTGAGACCGAAGAAACCCCATGAAATGACTGACTGCCAGTAGACCTAAAATTAAGAGACACTACATTCATTTCTAGCCACAACTTACAAGTTTGAACCTAGCATCACGTAGATAAAGGCAGGGATTCGTAAATACTCCGTAAAGCAAGTGCGAACACAAATCTCAATTGGCTAATTTAAAGATATATTGACCATTCACTATATATGAAATCAATCAATAAAGTAAACCTAAAAGTCCCTGTTTCACTATGATATCAAGACTAATCGGCTTAAAGCGCTATAGACATGTTGCCAAACTTTCAGTTTCAGTATGGAAAGGACAGGAGGCTGGGTAACCTGTGTTATTCCTGGCAGTGGTGGTCTCTCCGTTGATCCAAATTCCATTAGAAAGCGTTGACAGATGGAGCTTCAGTCACGGGCTGAGGCAATGAATTCCATTCATTGATGATTCATTGGGAAAGTCGATTGTCAGCTGACAAGTAGTTTGTTCTGGGCTTGTTACCTTTTTGAGTGTATTCGTAAATTCTCTGTTTTAGAAGACAAGCAAAATGAGGGTATATCAGATGCAAATCTATCAACTCTGGTTCTTCTGAATGGCAATGGCAATATATTTAATTTGACCAGTCGAACATTATACGGAAGCTTAGCTATCACTGGAATCAGCTTAGTTGCAGTTGTTTGAACGTTTCCCATCAACTCACTGTCTGTTTTCAGACAAGGGATAGCTGCTTGTATGCAAAAGTCGAGTTTATGATGAACGAATACTGCACACGAAGTGGAAAAGTATTCAGCATCGAAATGAATAAAGGCCCTATGCACTGACCATAGGTTCTGAAATTCTTGACGGTAATCGCACGGAAGTGTGTAGTAGTTTTTAGGTCTTGGCTAATGATGACTCCACAGTCGTTGTGTGTCTGGACAACAAGTAGCTCAATGTTTTTCACTGTGTATGTATCAGTACCTTGGTGACCAATTTACATCAAAATGCACTTGGAAGCATTTGTTGGAAACTGTCAAATTCTAAACTCCGCCTGTAGCTCTTATAGGGTTACTGCCGGTCCCATGCCCGGGTAAAGGAGGAGGATTGGGCATGTGGTAAGCGTCCCCATCCCGTAGAAAACTAACTCGCTAAAAAAATCCTTACCAGAAAAAATAATTCAAACCATTTTAACTCTGCCCTGGGAGTTAGAAGGTCTTCATTTAGAAGAATTATGACGCTTCATGGTGAAAGCCGAGTTCCTTCGGAAGTTACGAGGCCGATGCCCCTTCTAACAACCAGAGCAAAAGTTTTTATAGGTACATGGAACGTTCGAACAATGTGGGAAACCGGGAAGACCAGCCAAATATCAACGGAAATGAGGAGATACAACTTAGCAGTATTGGGAATCAGCGAAACCCACTGGACCCAAGCTAGACAGAAAAGGCTAAATACGGGAGAAATGCTGCTATACTCCGGTCACGAAGAGGACAATGCTCCACACACTCAGGGAGTTGTTCTAATGCTGTCCAAAGTAGCACAAAATGTACTTGTAGGATGGGAATCTCACGGATCCAGAATCATCAAAGCATCATTCGAAACAAAGAAGGAGGGGATCTTAATGAATATTATCCAATGTTATGCACCCACCAATGAGAGCAACGACGACATTAAAGATCAGTTCTACGAGCGGCTATAGTCAATCATTGAGAAATGCCCAAGGAAGGACCTAACTATTCTAATGGGAGATCTAAATGCCAAAGTCGGAATAGACAACACCGGATATGAAGATATTATAGGACGACATGGACTGGGACACGGAAACGAAAATGGAGAAAGATTTGTAAATCTGTGTGTATTCAACAAATTGGTCATAGGAGGCACAATATTTCCACACAAGCGTATACACAAGGCTACATGGATCTCGCCGGACCACACTACAGAGAACCAGATAGATCATATTTGCATCAACAAAAAATTCCGAAGGACAATGGAGGATGTGAGAACCAGGAGAGGTGCTGACGTAGCTTCAGATCACCACCTAGTTGTAGCCAATTTAAAGCTGAAGCTAAAGAAAAACTGGACAAGTGGACAAACAGCAATACAAAGGTTTAATACAGCCTTCCTTCGAGATACTGACAAACTCAATGAATTCAAGATAGCTCTTAACAACAGGTTCCAAGCCTTACAAGATCTATTGAAGGAAGAAGAAAATACTATGGAGGACAACTGGAAAGGCATCAAGGAAGCATTAACTTCAACGTGTCAAGTGGTTCTGAGTCTATAGAAACAGCATCATAAGGAGTGGATCTCTATATAAATTCTGGACAAGATCAAAGAAAGGAAGAACAAGAAGGAAGCAATTAACAACAGCCGAACACGAGCAGAGAAAGTCAAGGCACAAGCTGAGTACACAGAAGCAAACAAGTGAAGAAGAGTATTAAATCCTACAAGCAGAAACACGTGGAAGAACTAGCAAAGACCACGGGAAAGGCTGCAAGAGAAGGAAATATGAAACAGCTTTATGATACAACGAAGAAACTGGCAGCGAGATATGGTAAACCAAAGAGATCGGTCAAGGAAAAAGAAGGCAAGCCAATCACTGGACTTCAAGAACAGAGGAACAGATGAGTAGAATACTTTGAGGAACTCTTGAATAGACCAGCTCCATTGGATCCAGCGGACATCGAAACAACACACAGACCTTTCTATAGATGTCACTCCACCAACGACCGAAGAAATCAGGATGGCCATCAGACAAATCAAGAGCAGGAAAGCAACAGGACCTGACAATATACCATTTGAAGCACCGAAGTAACTGCAAACATGCTTCACCTTCTATTCAAGATTTGGGAGGAGCGAGAAGCGCTGACGAACTGGAAAGAAAGACACCTCGTCAAGTTACAAAAGAAAAGAAATCTGAGTAAATATGGGAACTACGGAGGTATCAAACTACTGTCAGTACCAGGGAAAGTCTTCAACAGAGTGTTGCTGAATCGGATGAAGGATGCAGTAGACGCCCAACTTCGAGATCGACAAGCTGGATTCCGTAAGGATCGGTCGTGCACAGATCAAATTGCAACACTACGGATCATTGTCGAAGAATCAGTTGAGTGGAACTCGTCACTATACATCAACTTCATTGATTATGAAAAGGCATTCGACAGTGTAGATAGGAGGACATTATGGTAACTTCTTCGACACTTCGGAGTTCCTGAGAACAGATGCAGATAAAGACAGCCAGTGTAGCAGCAGTCTCTGCATCAGTAGGCCTCAACATATACAAGGAGAAAACCAAGGTCCTCAAATTCAAAACGGAGAACAGCAGTCCACTCACTCTTGATGGCGAAACTCGGGAAGATGTAGAATCCTTCACATACCTGGGAAGCATCATCGATGAACAAGGAGGTTCAGGTGCATACGTAAAGGCGAGGATTGGCAAAGCAAGGGCCGCATTCCTACAATTGAAGAACATATGGAACTCAAAACAACTGTCTGTCAACCAATATCAAAGTCACAATCTTCAATACGAAAGTCATGAAAGTCAGTTTTACTGTACGGAGCCGAAACTTGGAGAACTACAACAACCACCATCAAGAAGGTACAAGTATTTATAAATAGCTGTCTTCGCAAGATACTCAACATCCATTGGCCGGATACCATCAGCAACAGCCTTCTCTGGGAGAGAACAAATCAGCTTCCAGCTGAAGAAGAATTTAGGAAAAGACGATGGAAATGGATAGGACATACATTACGCAAATCATCAAACTGCATCACGAGGCAAGCCCTGACTTGGAATCCTGAAGGGAAGCGAAAAAGAGGAAGGCCAAAGAACAGATTGAGTGTGTTATTCAAGTAGTTTGAGAATACCTATACTCCTGCACTAATTATGCAGTATTACTGTTGCCATATGCTATGTTGCGTCTTCTCTTAGTCCTATGGATTTTGTACGAACGTAAACGCTTATGTGAGTAACCTCATCAAAAATGTCTATCAGGCATGTACTGGAAGATCATGTTCTAGTCAAGCCGTGTTGCTACGGTTCGGTCAGACCTTCTTCAAGTACACGATCAGATAATTGATCTTGTATAACTTTTCCATTATGCGTGACACAATTGGGGCGATATTTATCGGTCTGTAATTTTCGATCAGGTGTTTTGGTCCTGATATGTGTTTTGAGACAATTTACGTTATCTTCCAGGTTTCGGGATATGTACTTGCCTCCAAGGATAATATGAATGTTTTGAGTATTAGTGTTCTTATGTCCTATCCAGCCAACTCAGAGTGGATCAATGGGATGTCATCAGCACCATAACTTGCATTCAGCTTAAGGGTTTTGATAACGGCGTATATGTATGTTCAGTGGAGCCTGGCAGTTGGGTCACTGACTATCGAACAGATCATCGATCCCTTACAAGGCCGATGACAACCAGTGCGCATCAGTTAATCGTATGCCATGGACTGGCTTATGCGGTAGTGGTTTCACTATCTTCTCTGTACTCATTATTACTAATGTATTTCCGTTATAGTGTCCTATGTGTTGTACGGTCTTCAAAATATCCATTGTGCCTTGAAAAGACGAAGAGGTCATTCGCGTTAGATGCTGACCGCGAGGTGTGATTTCAACGTTAGCTGTTGGTCACACTACCCCATTCTTACTGGAGTAGGCTCCCAATTATTCGACAGAGATCAACGTTGATGATCCGTATATATACTACTAAGATAAAAGTTAACGACACTAAGATTATTTTCGATGATCCACTTGATGTTGATATCTGGGGTATGAAGTGCATTTCCATTGAGAGGAAACCATTCACTAAGTAGTTCATATATGACAGTCTGGTCATAATACTCCATCAAATCGTGCAGTATAAACTGAATGTTGTGATCTTCACCCTTTCATATGCCTTGTTCAAGGAAACAACATAAGTTTCGGGTCTTAGATGCTGCAGTGAGCGTAATACTGTTTTCGCTAGTTTATGCTTTTTGCGCTGAGTTTGCACTCCATCAAGTACAGAGTATATTTGGAGCAGGGCACCGAAGCGTTTCAATATAATATAATACATCCTTTTTAGTTTTCGCAGCTTAGACCTAGTTTCTCAGTCGACAAGGGAAGTTATTGTTCCAAAAGCAATTTCGGAGTAGATAGTAGTGTTTAATGCGGATTTAGTGT